AAATATGCTACCAATTAATATCATGAGTAACATTAATCTAACCTCCTTTCATTTTACAATATTTAAGTAGTGATGAAATGGTTTGCGACAATTAACACCAATGAATGGTGATGTTAAATTTTCCTCTGTTGTAAACATCTACAACGACGGTGTCTCCTTTATGAGCATATAATGTAGGGCCCGGAAATTGGCCATTTACGGTGAGTATGTTCTTCGTGTTGCATAGTCTCGTATATGGAACTTCCTTCACCTACAGAAACAATTTATGATGAATACAATTGCATGTTGTTGTTTTCTATTCAAAAAAATGGGAATATGTACTTACAACAAACTTGTAATGCGGAAACGCTTGGCAATGGTAGAAAAAGAAAAAGACAAAGAAGCCTAAGAGTTTGGAAGTAGAGACTTTCATAGTGGATAGTAATAAGTTGGGATATAAGTGAATAAATCCAAATGGGATGGGGTAATAAATAGAGGTCAATGAGGCATATAATTGAAGAATTAACTTGTTAGTTGTATATAAAAAAATTAGGCAACTCAGTTAAAGAATCATGTGAAAGCTCATTGTGCAGTAATTTCTAGTGTGGTCGAAGGCAAAGAAAATTAACTGGTTAATGAAAAAATTAGGTGAGGGAGAGGGTGGGGGAGGGTGGAACAGAAATAATTAAGGCCTAGACAGAGGCTGTAACTACCAAAAAGGTTGTCACGTTTATTCACCATAATCGTGTTAAGAACTCCCATCTAACAACTTCCATGGAAAATTCTTCCCTTCGCACCACGATCCAAACCTACCACTTTATCATGCCTCACCCACAAAAAAATTGAAATAGAATTTCTCAATTATGCATGTCACTTTCAGTCATTGGCCTTCTAGATCTCTTTCATTTCTTATAAACACGTGGATTATACAATTGGTGCATTCTAAAATATTGATTCGGGACAATACGAATTTAGGTGGTTGAATAGATGTGCATTCATGTAATGGCCAACCGATTAAGAAAAAGTCTGTTGATGCAGAGTATACCCTCAAACTCACCGAATCATCTAATATACCAAACTGACTAGCATGTGTGACAGAATTTAGTATAAAATGGTAGTTTTATCTTTTCATTTCTTATAAACACCTGGATTATACAAGTATGCCATTTTTGCATAACATCTTGAAGGGTAGTGCTTCCAAATTATTCTATCTACTTTGCCTTTGGAAACAGCAACACTTCGCAGAATGTCTTCCAACATCTCAAGCTCATCCATTTCTCTTCCAAAAAGGGATCTATGCCATTGAAGATTCCAACCCTCCCTAATGGTTGGTTTCAAATCAACTATTGTCAAGTCTGTCTAAAGTGAGATTGAACAGATAGGGAAATTCAAGCTTTAAAGGAGAGTTTGCTAGCCAAATATCCTTCCAGAGGCTAGTTTTAGAGCCATCACTAAGCTGATGTGAGAAGCCATTTGAGAAGCACATGGTGGCTCTATCGCATTCCTTGTCAATGGATAAAATATCCTTCCAAAGAGAAGGTAATCTTGAGGACTTAGTGGTATTGATAATATCATTGGTTCACGTTTGATTGATGTCAAATGTTTTAATTTACTTTTCAACGAAATTACATATTTTTTCGTAGTTTGAAATTTTTTTAAAATTTGTTTAAAACTCATTAAAAAAAATTAACTTATAAATTTTTTAATAAAATTTTAAATTTATGAGAGAAAAATTTATTTTTAAAGAAAGTACTCTTTAAATTTTACCAAACACCTTTTAAGTCTTTTGTCTAAATCAAAGGAAAAATAGAGGGCTTAACTTTTACTTTAATCCTATGTTTGGATTGAGAGGAATATTGGAGGTGAATGGAGGGGAAGGAAGGGGGGACCTGGGAGGGGGGGAAGGAGGGAAAGGAGAATTATTTCTTTCTATTCCCTTTTATTCCCTTCCCTTCCTTTTCCCCCAACTAGATAAGTAACCAAATTAAAAGATAAAATAAAGAAAAGTAAAATTCCTCCCCCGCTCCCTTTCAATTTTTTATAACCAAATAAAATAATTTTTTCTCCTCCTTTGTTCTCCCCTCCATTCCCTTCAAATTAAACATATTATAAGTGATTGGATTCAATTCCTTATCTATGTTGTGGGAGAAATTTTAGTTTACGTATTGTTTGGATTGGGGTATCGGACGGAGAGCGAGGGGAAGGGATGGGGACGAATGATAAGGGAGGGGGAGTGAGGGGAGGTTGTCTCCTTCCTCCTGTTTGGGTTTCCAAAGAGACAGAAGGGGAGGGAGATTGATGGATTCGGACTCCCTTCAACCACCCTCAATTCTGCAGATTTGCAATCCTCTCAATTTGGGGGGTTTGGGAGGGATTTCAGGGGCTGTTTAGATTAGGTTAAAAAGAATTACAAAATTACCCTTTTCATATATTACCATAAATTGTTCTCCTCCTTCTTGTAGCAACAGCTTCAGAACCAAAAGAATCAAGTGAAGCCATAAACCGTATAGCTTGAACACTCTTTGTTATTTACCATATTTTTGCTTCTCTGTTTTTTTTTTTTTTTTAAAAAAAAAGATAAAACAAAATTTCAACCGAATAAATACAGAAGAAATAAATCTATAGAGAAGCAAAATTTCAACCGAATCCCTTGCTCAGAACACTCTGTCCGATACCACTCTATAGGGAACATATATGTCCCTTGCTTGATATAAATTTATGTTTGAATAATTTTTTGTGATTTGGTTTTTATTAATTATTTTATTTTATTGTTCATAGACATCATTGAGATTGTATTATAATAAAATTATTTGCTTTTTATTTTTAGAATCATTGTTTAGTGGTTGCTTTATTTACTATTTTTTGTTAAATTTTAAGTTTATGTTTTTTCAATCAATAATTTTTTTCCTTTAATTTGCATTTATCAATTTTTTAACCCAAAGTTATATTATGACCCAAAAAAGACATATGTAAGATGCCTAGGCTTCTCTCATACTTCTTTGTGGTGGATAATGAAGTGATTGAATGAATTAAACAAATGACAGCAAGGGGACAAGAATACACAATCCTATTACAAGCTTAAAGGATAAATTTGTAAATTTAAAATTAATTTAAATCCTTCACTTCCTTTTACCTTAATTATCCAAACATAAAAAATACAATCCTTCCCTTCCCTTTCCCTTCCTCATTTTTATTTATCCAAACAAAATTCATACAAATCATTTCCTTTCATTTTCTTCCCTTTCCTTTCTTTTCTTTGCCCTCCATTTCCTTTTATTTTCCTCTATCCCCCTCCCTTCCCTTCCCTTTACTATTTTCTATCCAAACAGTATGTTAAATTTGGAGAAGATTTGTGAGAATGTAAAGTTTGATGTAAAGAGCTAAGTTGCCCTTTGAAACTAAACAACAGAAAATACTTATTTGTTGGAACAAAAAAAAGAAAAAGGCAAAAAGAAAACACCAAAAACAAGCCTGCAGATTATAGAACTCTCCTACTAAACAGAACCCTCCTACTAAACAGAACCATTTAGCAAAATACTTTTATACTATATTTGAGAACATAAATTTGACAAGGTGTATTTGAATTTGAACACTTTAAATTCAAAATTAATGTTTGTTTTTATTTAAATAAAATATAATTAAATTTAAATAAAATACATATATTTTACCTAAGTATTTAAAAGACTTAATATACATTTATTTCAAATTCACCCTTAGACCCATTGATTTCAATTTCAAACCTCGCATTTTATATATCCGGCAGCTTCTTGAAATTAGTGGTTTTCTCCGCACCATCTTTTTGCTCTGCTCCATCTCCGGCAGCTTCTTGAACCGGGGGACAAGACACGCTGGACTCTAGCGGGGGAAGGCCAGATCTCCGG